GGGGGGGGGGGGGGGGGGGGGGGGGGGAGGGGAGGGGAGGAAGAAGGAAAGAGAAGAAAATATGTAAAATTGAAACAGAAGGAAAAAACTGTCACTATTCACAGAAAATATAACTGCCAGCATAGAAAAAACACAGATAACTAGAATTAATAACAAAGTTTAGCAAAGCAATGAGATGGCTATAAGATCAATATATAAATTTTTCTATAATTATATAGAATCTAAAAAGTACATTATTTATAACCTAGTAATTCAACTTCTATGTAACTCCCCTAAAGAAACTCTCACAGATATGCATAAGGGATACACAAAGGATTTTCAAAGTTCTATCAGTAGGGGAATCAACTGTGACATTCATATAATAGAATACTATACAGCAGTTACAATAAATGAACTAGGGTCATATGTATCAACACGGATAAATCTAAAAACACAGTGTTGCATAAAAAAGCAAGTTAGAAAAGAGTAGGGGTATGACCTTGAGCAAGTTAATTAACCTCTCTGTAACTCAGTGTCCTTGTTTATAAAATGAGGATGATAATAATAGCACCCACCTTCTACAGTTAGTTCGTGTACTATGCCTCAGGACAGTGCCTGAAAGACAGTAAGTACTTCATAAGTGTTCACCATGATGCTTCTGCTGCTGCTAAGACATATACTTTTTAAATGTAAAAACAATTTTATATATTGTTTATGGATGATAATAGCAAAATTACAAAATGGAAATGTCACAATAATAGTTAAGTCTGGAAAAAGGAGGGAGGAGAACGAAGTGGAGTATCTCTATCCGTATCTATAATATATGTATTTATCAGTAAGAGATATCTGAAGTAAATATAGCAAAAAGGTAACATATTTAAATCTAGGTGGTAGGTGTGTGTGTGGCTTTGTTATATCATTTTCTATATTTGTGTATGTTTGAAATATTTCATAAAAAATTTCAAAGAAAAGGATTGGAACGAGATGTTTCAAGATGTTAATAGTAACACATTTGGGTTTATGAATGTGAATGTTCTTTGTTTTCTTGAATAGAGTTTTCTGAATTTTCCAAATTTTCTACAATGAGAATGTATTTCTTTTATAATTAGACAAAAATAATATTTTAAAGCAGAGATAAAATCCTTTTAATATTGAAGTCACCAGAGGTTTGCTTCATCTAAATTAATCTTCATTTAGATTCCTCTAATCCAAACCAAATCTCTCTATATTAAAAATTGCATAACTTTGATTGTAGAGCATTTGATTTATTATACCAAATTTATATTTACAAAACATAAATAAGCATCCTTTTCTAATTCACAAATAATTTATGAATTTTTTCACCATCTTTATTGTAATAAAATGTCATTCCCTATAAATTTCACATTCCTGATACAGTGGGGGAAAGGGTACCACGGATCTCTGGATATATTCCTTAGAAAACCCACAAAATGACACCATCACAGACCTTCTCTAATCTCCCCATTTGATGTTTCATATCTAAAAGTACATCTAATCTGAAAACAGAACTGATCTTCAGAGATCTTGTAATTTATCTTTTACCATGATTACAATTTCTAATCTAACCAGCAGCAGTTCAAACTGAACTCTGATCCAAATGATCAATAGCTGTGCACGACCCATTAGATGTGCGAATATTAAATCGTTTTTGGATAAGGGCTGTCCAAATGAAAAGCATATAATTACCATCTATTAACATATATTGAAGCAAATAACACAAAAATGCAAAATGTGTCACATACAGACTATCAGAATTCCAGTGACTATGATGCTAAGGTTAGATCTTATATTTTACATATGGATTTGTATCAAATTATGATTTATGTCTTTAACTGTTTATTATTAAAAATGCTGGCCTTAAGCCACAAAATGGGTAAATCTGTGAATAAAACACATTTAATTTCTGATTCCATTTTTTTGTGTGTGTGTCTCTGCTTTCTTAACATAAAATTTCCCTACTTACTTGTAGGAAGTAGCCATGGATAATTAAATCAGTTTGATAAGAAAATAATTCCAAATATCTAGCTTACTTTTCATGTTTTCCCTTGCAAACAAAAAGCCTATATAGTTATAGAAGCATAAAATTGTATAAAGAATAGAACTTATAGAAAAAATGAGTCCGATCTCCTACCTTGAGTATCTTAGAGAACAGCAATAAAGTTCTCTAAACATCCCATGGTAGCTCCTTCCAATATTTAACAATGCAGTCTTTGGAAACTTTTCTTTATGAAAACCTAAATCCTTGGTGTTCTAAGGTAAACCTAGACAAGTAACATTTTATGGCATATTTCCCAGTCTCCCTTGCAGTTAGCTGAAGGTTTTGTGACTGTATCCAGGACAGTAGGATATAAGAAAGATGATGTAATCTACTTCCAGATTTGTCCTTCAAAACATTTCATGTGAAGATGGATGTTAGATGAACCTACTGTGGTCATCATTTCACAATATATGTAAATCAAATCATCATGCTGTATGCCTTAAACTTATATAGTGATGTAGGTCAGTTATTTTTCAATAACACTGGAAAAAAAATCTCAGGCATCTCCTCATTGCTGTGGTAAGGCTACATGTTCCAAATGCCATAGCTGTAAGAGGCAGGAGTATCATCCAGGGCCAAAAATAAATTTATAGTGAGCCTCTGAGGCTTCTGGGTTTGCTTAAGACTACATCATAGGCCAGCCTATTCAGGTTCAGACACTTACTGAAGGTCTTTTCAGATTCGAGCATAATGAGACAAAACTTCCAGCATTCATTCCCATTTCCAACCCCTCCCACTACCATCCCCTGGCCCTTCTTTTCATTCAACGGTGCTGTAATTCAGGATTGGCATCCTGTCCTCGTGGTCCCTATATTTTTCTTTCTCCCCCCAGCCACTAGTCCTTCCTCCTTTGTTTCTTTGTTTTCTCCGAATCTGAAACCTCATTCTCTCTTGGGCCAGAAGTGTGTTGGGCAAGCTGTTCTTAGCTGTCTGTGCATCTCAAGGTATGGAGGGGATAATTCCCTCTTCCTCTTCCTCTTCCCACCAGACCCTGGAGATACGATACGGAAGCCTTCTTGTGAGAAACACTATGCAACAGTCTTTAACCTGGGCAGGACCTGAAGGTCAGACCAGTTAGGCCTTCTGCTTCAGCAGATTTCAGCCTTGTTGGAAAGAGGAGTATGAAGCCCCCTTTTCTGGTCTTCTTGGGGCAGGGCTAAGACTTTACATCACTGCCTTTACTTCTCCTACAACTGCTTCACTGGTGAAGGTACTTCCAAGAAAGCCTATTCAAAATACACAGAAATCTAAATAACATCCACCTTCCAGTTCCTGTTTTAGTGCTTTAACTTCCTGAGTGATTGTTTGATGAGATTTCCCCATTGTCTTTGCATTAGGTTTCCTTTTTTTTTTTAATCTTTTTACATAGGAACCATTTCAACAGACCTGCCATGTAGAACTAGTCTTTCAAGCAAGATAGAGATCAGCCTGACCTTTCTCACATCAATTAATCAATACTGTTTCACCACAGATTTACCTTTTAACCTTGGTGTTTCCACAGTGCAATATCAAAGCATGATTTGTGAGCTTGCTCCATTTTATATATGGTTAAGAACAACCCTCTGTCTGTGTGCTTTGATAAAGTGTCAGAGCATAACGCAGCACAAGAGGAAAAGGGGGCTTTTATTGTCTTCATCAAGAATGGCTTTGTAAATCTAAAATGGGAGCAGCAATACCAGCAAAGCCGGCTGATTGAAATTAACTACTGGCCTCTGTTGGCAGATTCATGCTGCTGGAAAGGCCATTGTCAGGGAATGCTCTCAAGGGTGGAATCTTTTGATCTGCTTTTCAGATAAGAATATGTGTCTGTTGCCAGTATCAATACCCCATCACTGAAGCTTATCCCCAAGAGAAACAAGAAGGGTTTGTTCCACTATGTTCTGAACCTACAATTGCCACTATCCTTACTGCTTTAACCTGTTTCATAGGTGAAGAATTTAGAGAGGGCAAAGACCGTGAAGTATCTCAGAATACGATCAAGTCCTTTCACTGAATTCACTTCATGGCAGAGAACACTACTGTTGTGTCCTCTGTGAGGTCTCTGTGGACAGAAAGATTTCCCCACCAGACCACAATGTGCTTAAGCGCCTATCTCATAAAAGAACTGTAGAATCTCTTTTTGCACATCATCCATCCCTTTTGCTTTACACAGAAGAAACTGAGCCCCAGAAAATGACATGTTTTAACCCAGATTCCCCAGATATTTAGTGGTAGACTCAGACCTTAGAAACCAGCACAGTTTCTTCCCCAAATGTCAAGCTGTCACATTAGTTCTTAAAGCATTTAAATGTGTGATGATATTTGCAAACTTACCACTTCCCCAGAAGCCAATAATAAAACTTCGTGTGGAGGCTGCACTTTTCCTCGGGGCTTCTCAGCAGTGCTCGGTTTTCACCCGGCCATCTAGACATACCACCTTAAATCAGAAGAAAATTCATATTACAGTCCTGCCATTTACCAGCTCTGTGATATCTGGCAAGATATTTAACCTCTCTGTGTCTTACTGATCTCTTGGACAAATAAAATATCTCACAGGGCTATCTGGAGGGTTGAAAGAATTAATACCTACTAAGCACTAAAAACAGTATCTAGCACATAACAAGCACAATATAAGTGTTAGCTCATATTATTCCTTCCATTCCTTTCTCAGATTATTCAGTGAATCTGGGGTATCACTCTACAGTTTTGTGATATTTTGTTCCTTCATAAATTCTAAGTGTTTTATAATTCTTGATTCCTTCACAGTGAATATACTGTAGAGTTCCTCTAGCTCATTTTGAACACAAACATGGGGCATTTGGAAAAGGTGCCTTTTTATATACATTGGGAAAAAAAACCCAAAAAACACCAACATCTATCATTGCACTCACATTTTGATTCTTTTTGAGTAATTCACAGACTTAAGCTATCTCATTCCCAGGAAATGGAACCAAAGGTTGCTGACTGAAATTTCACTGTGCTTTCAACCTTTGAAGTATGAGAAGCACCATGGAATGCCAAGATCAAGTACTCTGTGGTCAGTGCACAAAGTAAACTTTATTATGGATTTTATAATGTTCCCAATGGAGATGCAATCATTAAGTTTCCTTTTAATAACAGAGCAGTACGTTTCTCTTGAACCTGGTTTGACCAATCATTAAATGTGTCTGGTCAAGGAATGCGCTTGGATAATATGAGATCCCAGGCTATAATCAAACAAAGAGTTGACTCTCTTTGTTTCCTTAGATTTAGCTAAATGGAACTTCCTATTCTAAGGAAGCCTCTTTAAATGATATGTGCTTCTTAATAAATAAAGTGCTGCTGATTCAACTATAAATTAATTTTTGGTATGAAATTTGAAATTACATGATGGTTTAAATAATATGGAGGAAGGGTAAAATTAAGTGGAAAAATCATGTTTAGCAAAACATAGCTTAGACTTGCTCAGTTTCCAAATTGAGGTTAATTGTTTAAGGACCCTAAAGACATTATCTTCTTAGTGGTAGCTGGCCATTATTTTTCAGCACCTAGTAAGATGTGAGTGTGTGTGTACGTGTGTGTGTGTAAATGGTGTAACCCAACTGCACAGCATAAATAATCATTTGGCAAACTGATGTAGAGTATATGGAAAGACAATACTACTCCAGTGTCTTCTTTGTGGGGCAATATAAGAATTTTGTTTAAAACAAAGCAGTAGCTATGTATTGTTTAGTAAGTTTTCTCTTTCTTTTTTTTGAATGGGGACACACATTCATGAAGGGTCAGTCTATCAATTCTGTTCAGTATTCCCCAAAACAAAACTATCAAGCATATTTTGCATAGTTTTCCCTTTTTCCCACTGAGGCCTGAGGAGACATCGGCATTATACCCCTGGCCACTCTGGCACTGACCACAGAGGGACAAAGACTGAAGGAGACTGAAGTCCCACCTGGTCACAAAAGTCAGGTGATGTCAAGGCTTACCTTCCATAACCTTCTTTCCTCTCATTTGAGATTCTTCCTAGTGGAGGGTTTGTCATTTTCAGGAGGAGATTACTTTAGCAAATGAGCTCTAAGAACAATGAGCTTGAGGTTTAAAATAAAATTCAAGGATGTTCTTAATAAGGTTGTATACTGTTAATCCATGGTTTTCTGCCAAGTAGTGTCTCAAATGCCTCTTTAGGGATTTATTCTACTTTAGAAAGATGTCAGATATAAATATTTAAGTATATAGAGATTTTGTCTTTGACCTAATGAATTTACATTTTGTTTAGATAGTAGTCTTAGAAATGTGATTATTATAGAATGGATAGACACTGGAATGCAAAGAAAAGCAATAAAGTCACATTATTTTTTTGCCTAATGGAGTTCTCAAAGATTAAAAGGCCTGATAACCATTAGTGTGGGCGTGTAAAATGGTCATTCTCATACATTGCTAGGAGGAGTATAATTTGATCCTTTCTTTAAGGGAAGGAATTTGGCAATATACATTAAGAGCCAGAGAAGGGTATAAACACCAACCCATAAGTCCCACTTCTAGGGAATTATCCTAAGGATATAATTGGCCAATAGCACAAAAATGTATATGCAAGAGTCTACAGCTTATAAAAGTAGAAAACCGGAAAAAAAAAAAGTATCCAATAACAAGGATTATTTAAACAGGTACCTTTATACGATGGAATGCTATGTAGCTGATAGACATGATTACATAGACGTACATTTACCAATTTGGAAAGATAGTTCTGAATGATCATTAAGTAAAAACAGTCCATTATAAATCAAACTCTAATATGATACTGTTATAAGAGGGAAAAATAGTATATGGATAGGTATGAATTGAAGACACGCACTAAAATGTTATCTATGATTGTCTTTGGATATTGAGTATTTATTTTTTATTTATATTTCCTAACGTCTCTACAATTAGTATGCATTACTTGAGTATAAAAAAATAAAGAATGGGATATATTTTTGAAGGGAATTAATGGTGTTTGGAGATACAATGATGTCATCATATTTATTTCAACTTACTGGAATGAAAATATTGTTTCATTCCATATAATTTGCGTGTTATCATGAGGAACATTGTTTTTTTAAAGACTCTACTTGGAGAAATCAGAACTACAGAGAGAAGGAAAGGGAATGGAGAGGAGAGGAGAGAGAGAGGGGGAGGGAATGATTGAATTTAATGCAATGGTGCTTTTGCAGGCTTGAAACTGTCAGATCTAAGTTGAACTCCTGGCTATTACCCTTAGGTTTGTTTAAACTTGTAAAAACCACTTTAGTCCCTTAAGTTTCAAAATTTTAATCTGTAAATTGAGAGTCAATAATATTCACAGGACTATTATGAGGATTAAGTAAGAGGTATAAATCAAAGTGTCTTGCTCAAAAAGGGTATGTGATAAATACCTAGAGTGAGTGGGTAATATATACTGGACACAGAGTTACGTACTTTATGTACATTATTACATTTGTAATAATATGTCACAACAACCCTAACACACGGGCATTTTATCTCCATTTTGCAGATGAGGAAATAGAGTTGTAGGGAATTTAAGAAACTTGCCCAAAGCCAGAGAGCTGGAAAGAGAGATGGGGATTGGCATGAAACTGCCCAAAATGGAAGCTCCATATTAGATAGTAACAAACCAGGTCCTCAGTCCCTCCATCCATCCTCCTCTCCCTCCCCTACTCCTGCACACCCTCTCTCCAAAAAAGAGAAAAGCAGATCACTTAAACTCAAATTTGTATCCTTAAAAAGGCTGAGTTGTTCAAATTCTTCATAAAACTCATTTCATTCTACAAGCTAGTCTTGAAAACATTCAAGTCCAGAGGAAAGATAGCTGAAAGACAATACATGCTGTTTCTTATATATTCTGTATAAACTTCCCTTTCTGAAGTTAATTTTTTATGTTTTATTTTTCATTGCAAATTTAATCTGATCCTGATACCCAAATACCTACTGTATTTCCCTACAAATATTCTCTAATACAGTCCCAAAGGATAACTTTCTGGGTTTTTTTGTGTCGTTTTCTTTTTCAACTCAGCCTGTGCTTTTTCACACTGGAATACTTTTTTTTATCTCCAATCTGTTCAAAAATAAAGCTACTTCTAGAATATAGAAATCTTAACTCCAAAATAACACGAATTAAAATAAAAGATTTGATTCAGACCCAAATATTCTGTATGTAGTCTGTCATTTTTTTATTTTCATTATAAACTGTATGTAAATAAGTATATGCATAATCATGATTCAGAGCTTCAGAAGGGTTGTTATGTATCAGACAAATGGCCAAGCACAATCACAGCTAGCATGTACCATGAAATACGGCTGTGACATTACTGTGGTAGTACATTAAGATCAAAGCCATTGCATAAGACCTATAAGAATTCATCAGTCAACATGATGCTATCAAACAGTTCCCAGACCACAAGCCCCGCCATCACATGAACCATGGCAATATGCATGATCATAAAAAGGAGCAATTAAAATCCTTTTAGAACACTCTGTATTAGGTTGCTTCTGATAGCCAGGCTTCTGGAGAAATATGTTCTATTCTTCTGCTACTTTACTCACATTCTTTATGTTATCTATAAACCCCATCCTAAAGTCCCTTACAATTTCCGCATATTGAAATTATACTCATCATCTTTGCACATGGCATTTCTTTCATGGAACCTGTCCTGTTGCCTTGTGAAAGAGATTTCTTCCTCCTCTGCACCCATGTAGCAACTTATCTCTTAGGTCACTTGCACTGTACTTGCCCTATAGGACTACAATCCCTTAGAGGGAAATCTGGGGACTTCTGAAAAGTAATACCATAGCATGGACCATATATGACACAGCACATCCAGCAAGCAGTGAGGTGCTCAGTGGGTCACAAATGACCTTGTTAATAATGCAATCATCTTCACTGTACCCTTAGAAGAAGAAAGAAATCTGTACACAAATAAAGGGAAAAGCCTTCTTTACCCCCAAAGCCAGAATCTCCTGCGTGAGGAGAAAAGGCTTCTTCAATATGCTCAGAGGCCTGGTATTCAGAGTCAATCATTTCTTCCACACTAATCACTTGAGAAGGGATTACATGAGTTGAGCACGAGGGGGCCGTGAATACCCTCAGATCATACAACCTCATACAACAAAATAAGCATGAGGCAAAGAGCTCTGTAAGTACCTAGATTAAGTCTCCCAACAATTGGCAAATTACTAATAACAGGCCTTTTGTTCCTTTTGCAAGCGGTCAAAATAATGAATAATAGAGTGTTATGCCAAGTCGACTAATAGCCAGTTCACGTGAGATCATTTAAAACAGGAGAAAATGATGCTTGAAAAGGTCGCTGATGAGATTTTGCTTTTTCCTAAGAGACTCTAGATAGCATTCTGCGGCAGCATTTTAAAAACCACTTTCCAAAATTGGGCACCCTCATTATCATGCATTATATTTGTACTCTCCACTTA